CTTGTTATATTCGGCCATAAGGGAAATTAGAGGAAAATATTGAAAAAGTTCCTATGGTCTAGAAATGATATTAGAAGTGTTCTATGTATTTTAGAAATCAATTTGGATCCATTTAGAAGCTTGAGTTAGTAAAAGGGCTAATATACAAGTTTTGAGAATTGTGGGATATTATTGCATAAATGTGATAGATGAAGTGTTAATGCTGAATTTTAATATTAGAAATGCTGAAATTTTTAAGTTAGAAAGTTGATTGGAACAAAATTTCAAGTTTGGTAAAGCTTGAGGGTGGATTTCGAAAAGTATAAATATTATAGAGACAATATTTCAAGTTTATTAAATGTGAAAGTATCATTTAGGTAATTACTGCAATGCTGGAAATTATATTTAGTATGCTGATTTTTGGGTTTAATTATTAAGTTGAGATTTAATTGCAAGTTTATCAAGTTGTGTGGTTGAAATTGAAAAGTCTAAGAAAGTTTAGGAGGAAATTGTAAGCTTTTGAATGTTTAAGTGTTGATTTGAATATTTTAGTAAGGTGTTGGAAATTTTATGTGATTAATGTAAAATGATCATAATGGTGAAGGGTCATTATGAATTAAATGAAAAAGTTAATATGAATTCTAAAAAGAATTCTTAATTTATGGCTTGATGGTGTAATTGGTAAAAATTGAAGCGTTGATAATGGAAATAAATATTCATGAGATTAAATAAGCATTTTTGAGAAGTTTGAAATTATGAAGGAAGTATGATTTAGTTTTATATCGATTCAAGTATTGATTTTATTTATATCTAATTTTATAATTTCGTTTAGATTATCTTAGTTTGATACTAACATATAGTTTGAATATTTTATATTATTATATAATATCGTCATACCACAGTAAATTTAGTGATCCAAGTAGTTTGAAAGGAAGGAAAAGTGTGGGATCAAGAAGAATATTGTCGAGAAGGTTCGGTGGCGAGGCAAATGTGAGTGCATTTAATTTGTATTGATGTTATCGAACAAATATTGGCTTACGATGAGCCAATGTTGGAGTTACGTTAAAAAGTGACTCTTAGTGTATGCGAAGTATGATTCAAGCCTATATGTTCAATTGTTAAGGATACAAGTTAATGAAATATGCCTAGAAATTATGTTATCTACAGTAAATTTAGAAAATTACCAGAAATTCTACAAAAATAATTGAAGGATGAATCTTATACCATTGGATTCATATATCAGTCTAGTTTCCTTTAGAACAAACGAAAACTGGTTTCGAGGAGTATAAAAAATATATGAATTTTTAATCAGTGATAGGTCAGAAAACAGGACAACAGATTTTGCCCAAAATAGCTTCTGTCAGTCAACTTTGAAAGTTCGCTATAAATTGTACAAGTGGAAATAGACAGAGTGCCTTATATGGTTAGATTCTTATTTGAGTCTAGTTTTCAATGGTTCAAACATAATAATTTTTTAGTCTCTATATTAAAACAGAGTAATATTTCTTTGAGGGTAGTGCAAACTGCCATAATATAAAATTTTAATAAAAGTGTAGTTGAAACAATGGAAAGCAAAGGATTAAACCTAAAACTTAGTGAATATTTTGATTTATAAGTAAAGTGTTAAAATGAGTACATTAATTGTGATAAGTCAACATCGTATTATTTTAAAATATGTTTTCTGTTTTAAATACGAATTATTTATATAATGTTCACATGAATATTTTAAGAATGATTAGGGTATGAATTGTGCTAAATTATGATTTTTTATGAGAATGATATATGAGAATGCTACTGATTGAAAATGCTGAATTATAAATGAATGAAATATGATCTGAAAACCTATTGTATGTTGCATTAAGAGTCGTGGGTACATGTGGTGGAGTGATATAATATACTGGGGTATTACCTGAAGGTGCACTAGTATATATTCTGATGTGATTGTACTTTCTGTGCACATTACGATTCTGATATGATAGCATTGTGTGTGCTTATATATTCCAATTTTAATATACTATGGTGTATCGGTGGGTGCACTTATATATATATATATATATATTCTAATGTGATTGCACTTTGTGTGCATATTCTGATTCTAATGTGATAACACTATGTGTGTTCATTTCTGATGTGATATATTGTGGTGTTACCAGTGTGTACACTAGTATATTTTCAGATGTGATTGCACTTTGTGTGCATATTATGATTCTGATATGATAGCACTCGTCTGACTCACGAACCTTGTATTATCTTACATATACAATGAACTATAACAGTAAATGTAAAAGTTATGACAAGAATATGAAAGAATCGAATATATAACTGAAGTGAAAGTTTTAAAATATGTTCGAATGAAAAATATGTTCGAATGGAAGGAATGTGATGTTGTTTTTTTATATTTAATGATGGTTTATATTATTTTTGATAAAATCATGAGATGATCTGGTTTTCAAGAGGAAAACAACATTAATAGCATGGTTTGAAAGTTTTAATATTTTTATTTTAATTTCAGATTTATTTTTCTAATGTTTTACGAAATCTTATGTTTTTTTCTCATTTTAGTTATGTTATTGTCTCACTAAGTTTTATTTTGAGTGTGATGATTTTCAGGTTTTCAAGAGGAAAGCAACATGAATAATATGTTTTGAAAGTTTTAATATTTTTATTTTAATTTTAGATTTATTTTTCTAATGTTTTACGAAATCTTATGTTTTTATCTCATTTTAGCTATGCTATTGTCTCACTAAGTTTTATTTTGAGTGTGATGATTTTCATGCGTAGATTTGAGTAAAGAAAAGAACGTGAAGTGAGGAGTGTGCCATCATCTTGTGGAAATTAAACCTACCAATAGTATCAATAAAACATCATAACTTTAACTTATTAGTGACATGTATATTATATATGTTGGGTTGCTTTATTATATTTATATTAAAAAGGGGTCTGAAATAGTAATTTAGAACCATTTTAATGTTTGGTTAATTTCAGTATAATCGTATTTATGAATGAATATTACGAATATTTTTAAATGAGTTTAAACCAAACAACATTAGTCAGTTGTATATAGATATAAAACAACATAAAACTGTCTAATTGCGGCATAAAATCATCTTTATTTAGAATAATAAATTATTATGTTATGACTATATACACTAAAAGAATTTTTTTTAAAATGATAAAAAGAATATTTTAAACCAAAACAATTTTTTTAAACATTTAAATTCAGTAAATATCTGTTAAATTGATTTGATATCTTTAATTCGATTACGAGATGTATACGAACTAGGGTGTTTCACCTTCAACGACTCTTACAGCAGAAGATGATGGCCAAATAAAGATTTATCCTCAAGCAATTATGGGAAAAATAATAGTGAAGAGGGACAACAAACTTGTCACTCAACTTTTAGTGAGATGGTCGAACCTTGATGCATCGAACGATACATGGGAAGATCATATGGTGATACGAGCTGAGTTTCCATCATTCGATCCTTGGTGACAAGGATCCTGTCAAGGGGGTATTGTCACGATCGGGGAGGAAGACGGTAGAAATGAAGAAGGAAAATTGAGAATGATCGAAGAAGGGTTAGGGATTTTGAGCCAAAAAATTGGGGATTTTGGGATTGGAAATCAAATAAAGAAACACACGAGAAGCTGGTGACTAGTAAAACCAAAGAGATAAGGATGAAGCCCATTACCTGTTCAGCCGAATATAAGGAGCAAACCTGTAAGTCTCCAGTCCAAGAAGCACAGATGACACCTGCACATGATCGTTAGAGATTGTTAGACCAGTACAGCCAACTGACATTCTCACTAGATTCAGTACATTGTAAATTAATAAAACCCTGTACTGCTGAGACTTTTCTTATGAATTTGCTGAATGAATGTATCTGTTTTCTGTAATCCCTTTCTTATTTCTCTTCTTCGTCTACAACTCTCAAAAACCATTAGGCTCGTATCATAATTGCTTACCCTTTTTCAATTCAATTGAGACTCCGTGAAGCTAAGAATTCAAATGATATCCTTCACTGCTATGGGGGCTCTTAGAGGATAATTTATGCAATGCTTTGAGAAGCTAAAAGTTAATTTGTAATCGAGATAAACTATATGATAATAGGAAACTTACCGAATAAACTCCTGAATTTGTCATATGATGGATGGAAGAGATCCAATGGTCCATAATGACAGAAGTATCATATGGCACTGGAATTATGTCTCGAGAGAGGGCTTCGATACTCGTATCAACAAAAAATGAAAGTGTTTTTAAGGACTAAGAATAAGCAATAAATGGCAGTGGAGTGAAAGTTGGATCCAATGGAAAGAAGTGGTACAACTACAGGTAGGGAAGGTACATGTGAAATTTAAGCCTCCAACATGAAACTGGGGAGAGGAGACTAAAGGAGCCCCTCCCCCAAACATTTATAGTTTGTGGGACACTGTCAAGAATCAAAATGGCACTGTAAAAAGTGTAAGTTCCATTCACTAGCTTTCAAAAGAGAATTATTTGAAAAATTTAACCTCAAACTCTGTCAACAAAGGGACACGATCCTTATCACAAGAAGCATCTAACAATACTGTGACCCCACCTCACCACCCTCCTCCTTCCACTTTTGTTCTTCTCTCTCACTCTCATGTGTGTTATTTTATGATGTAAACTTAAAATACTGGCATTATTACGGAGCACCGTATGACAATAGTGTATAGAAAAAAGAAAAAAGAAAAAAGAAATGATGGACATCCAAGAGTGATGTGATTGAGAAATGAGGCAAAATATTATTATGAACAAAGAATGAGGACTTCACAATTCCTCATACAGCCGACCAAATTTATAGTGCCAGGTCAGCACGAATGATCCATTCCCTATTATGTAACACTCAAAACTCAGTTCTAAAATCCTAAGGAGAGTTGAGAATCGACACTTTAAAATGCTAAATAAACATTTGATGAGATCAAACTAACAAAGCTCGAATTCTAAGGAGGGAAGCCCTACTTTACTTTATATATAACAACATATAGTCCCACTACTGTCTGCAGCCCTTGGAATCCTTCTCAGTCAAATCCCCTTCTCAACTTCTCTTTTTTCATTGTTCATCTCTCCCACGCGCAGACGAAGAGGCTATCAGGTTTATGTTGAAGAGATCAAACTTTGAGGGAACTGTCTATCCCATTATTGTTAGTGTTGCAGCTTCCAAGATTTTTACATGGATGATAAGTGGAAGCTATCAAAGAAGGAAGCTTCAGGCACCCATTGTTCAAGTTCTTCAAAGTTCTCACTTCCAAGGAGTTTCTCCACGAAGAGTGTTTCTTCCAAGGCTCCCCTTCTTAGGAGTTTCTCACAGAAAAACTCATGTTCTTCTTCTTCTTCTTCTTCATCGTCTAAATGTCCACTACCAAGAAGTTTTTCACAAAAGACATCCGTTTCGCGTAAATGTAGTAGCATGGCCAAGGAACAGAAGGCGAGATTTTACATCATGAGGCGATGTGTTGCCATGCTTGTTTGCTGGCATAAACATGGAGATTCTTGAAGAAAAAAAGACGAGTGGAGATGATCATATATAGATCAGTAGGAATTCCTATTCCTTTTCTCCACTTCGTTTATGCAAGATGATTCTTGGATTTTTTGTCTTGAACTCATGGGTTTTTTACATCCATTGCATCAAGTTACAGATAAATTTCAGACCGTTTTTCTTGCTTACCTTCATTTTCTAATTAGTTCAGTTCCGTTTGTAATTATAAAATGAGAAGAGATACAAGTTTTATGGTTGTAAGAAAAGACTATATCAACAAATAGATTTATTTCAAATCCTAAACTAGCAAAGTTTTTTTAATCATTTCTCTATGTGATTTGCTTCCCCACCCCCTTGAGATCTTCATCAAAGCAGATCTCAAAATCAGAAGGTCTACTTAAATTTGATCCTTTTTGGGGTGGCTTCTGACTGGTAATTTATTCAAATTTCTTCCTATGTTCTTTCTTTTCTTGCGTGTTGATTGATGGCACAGAGATTCCTTTCATCTGTTGCAGCTGCCAACATAATAATAGGAAATCATTGGCTACTGGATCTGCATTGGGAATGAGAACCCATCTTTTTTACTTACCCTTTCAGAAGAAGAGGCAGGAACTGTGTGTTCTGCTAAAGATGGAAGGGAAAACCCATGGAATGATCTCTAAATAAGGGTTTGGGTCGTTTTTTGTTGTTGTTCCAGCTCAAGCCTGAAATTGGTTTTTTGATGAGCAGCAAAACTTGATAAGATTTTACAATCCAGGTTAGTGCAAGAAGTTCTTCTTCTAGCAGTAAATGAAAATATGATTAATTTTGTTCTGTAAGCTTTCAGGTATTTGGAGGGTCGGAAACGATTACTTCAAAGGGGGACAAACGATGAATGACAAGCATGAGAATCAGTGAAAAACATTTCTTTCAAAACTTAATTGGAAGGAGCAGCAAATCCTGACTGCTAAGTCTTCTTAACGTGAGGAAACAAATTACAAGGAAAACTATTTTTAAACTCAACAACACACTTAAACCAAGAATTGTGTCCGAGATGCATGTATTATACTCATTTAATCATGCTCTTCCATCATGCTTGCATCAGTCAGTTCCACCCTTCACCAAATAGTAGCATATTTTCTTAGCTAAAATGTCTGCCAGTCTTATTTATATTTTATTAATTACATCAAAACAAAGGGATACCACCACTTCAATTTTCAAGAAGATTAAAGCTCCCCAAAGCTTAAATTTAGGTGTAAATGTAAGATACGAGTATGTTTCTTTTTTTGGGTTCGATTTCGCTAATACGAATGTTAAACACAGAGATATGTTTGTATAACAATAGACTAATACGTTCTTCATTATGTTCCTAACTTCCTTGCACCATTTGTAGCAACTTCATCTTCAGCAATACTTACTAATATACTGAAGTGATTACTATGAGTAAACCGCCATTGACAGAGCTTGAAGCAACTGACATTTAATATAACGATATAACTAAAAGGGGCTTTTGATAATTTAGTCTATGAGGGAGAGAAGACTAGTATAAACTGTAGACACCCGTTTTTGTCCGGGTTTTTTATTATTATTATTATTATTATTATTATCGTTATTTATTATTATTAATTAATTACATATATTTTTGCAGGCCAAATTAAGGCCTGATTACAAAGTGACCCAGCTGACCCATTACAACAACCCGAAGCCCAATTGGCCCAGAGACCAGAAGCCCACTGCTAACCCAGACCCAACCTAGCAGATTAGGGTTTCAAACCCTAAAACATATTAGGGTTTAAACCCTAATCCCCTACTCAGCCGCCGCTTCTGTTTGGACTTCCAGCCGCCGTGTGACTCCTCAGCTTCCCCAGACGTCAGCCATTCAAGCCGAGCCTCCCCTTCTCTGCCTCAGCGCCGCCACCATCACTGTTCCGGTCTGACCCCAACTGTTTCACTATTGTCATCTACAGCAAAACCAATCAAGAAAATATATCATATACAGTTCAAATCTCACAAAATCTAAACTCTAAATTAAAATACCAATAAATCCCTAAATATTCGGGATTTCTATCCCACCAAATCAGAAAAAGCCATGCCCTACACTAGGTATCATCATCTCACCAAATACTCAACATAAATCAAGGGAATAGAACGAGAGAAAGGGGAGAAAAAAAAGACAGAAAAAAGATTCGGGTTTACATAAAAAAGAGAAAAAGGAGAGAAAATAAGAAAGAAAACAGAAAGGAAAAAGAGAGGAACCGAAGCTTACTCATAACCGACCACCATTGCTTCATCGGGGTGATTAGGCTTTATCTTTGGAGGTAATTTTTTTTACCTTTCGGATTTGGGGGTTTCGGGTTTGGGTTGTGAGTGGGGGTTTAGTTTTAGGTCGATTTTAGGGGGAAACTGTGTAGTGTGTGAAACCCCGTGGCCACCGTTCTACGGTGGCCGGGGTTGAGTGTTTTGCTTCGGCAACGAGGAAGAAGGGAAGGGGAGGAAAGAACGAGTGAAACGGCTGAGGAAATGGGGAGTGAGCAAATGATTTTAGGGTTTCAAAATAACCCTAAAAGGGGTTATATTTCAGACGTCGAGCGACGTCGTTTTGAAGCAGGAGGGAGGCCGAGTGATGGGATTAAGGGCTAATAGCCTATTTGGTCCTCTTACCTCTGTAATCTTGCACGCGTGTTCTTAGCATTTATGGGTAAACAACAGTTTAGGTCCCTCAAGCTTTTGTAAGGGTTGTAATCTGGTCACTAAATGAAATCCATGCAATCTTATTTCGAGACTATAGTTTTATTTTGTTTTATTTGAATCACTAGTTTATATATTATGTATGTTTTATGATCTTCGAATTTGGACCTGTGATTTATGTTTTTTTCATTTTGGTCACTGGACTGGTTATTGTTAATATTTTTGAAAGTTTAGACATTGTACTCTTTATTTATGAAACTTTTATCTTGATCACTACTCTCATATTTTGGGTTAAATATCGATTAATGTCTGTTTATTTTACTTTCATTATATTTTAGTCCTTATCTGGTTTATTATTACATTTTTATTAGAGTTCGAATTTGGCCATATTATTTTATGCATGTTTCGTTTTAGTCCCTGTTTAACATTTGGCTTAATTGTGGTTTAGTTCTTTATGTTTTTTTCATTTCATTTTGGTCCCTAATATGATTTATGGTTTATTTTTTTTTACTGTTTTTTAAATATTTGTTAATTATATTTTAGCCCCTTAAATGTTTTAATATTTATTTTGGGCTGTAATATTTACTAATTTGTATTTTAGTCATTTATGTATGGATGTGCATTTTACTCATTAGTTAATTATTGGTATTGTGTTTACTTTAATTTAATGTAAATCTTTGTATTTCCAATCACATTTATTTTCATTATATTTTTATCTATGTAAGAAATATTCGATTATATTTTCAAGAACACGTATGCGTAGAATGGGCGTGGAAAGTACCACTTGGTCGAAGTGGTACGATCCGATACGGCATTTTTACGACATAGGGACTTGTAACAAGTCGAGTATATTTTACTAATTAATTTATTAAAATGATGTAATATGTGGTACCTTAAGGGACACTCACTTTATTTTATGTGAATGTAAATTTTAAATTTTCATTTTATATTCGATACGTTTTTAAATAAATGATGAGAGAATATTCTTTAAAAGATAAGAAATAGACGAGTTAACTTTCCCGACGGAGGATTGTTAATCTCGAGATTTCCTTTCAAATTAAAGAATTTTCTCTGATAAAATAATTCGAAGTAAATTAATTAAATCTCAATAAACGAATCATATTTTAGTTTTATATTCAAATTGTAATTTTCACCATTTACGACGATGTGTAAGCTACACAGTACCAATTTTGGGCGTTGTGGGGTGTTTACCCTTCCCCACACGTAACCGACTCCCGAACCTGTTTTAAATGAATCTTTGGTAACGTAGACCAAATTTTTTGTCTTATAAAATTATTTTTCTTAAAATTGTTTTTAAAAGACGTTTTTAGGTATTTGACCTACCTAACCCAAAGGTCGATGCGACTCTTTTCAATTTTATTCAAATCCATTCAAAATCACCAAATTTTCCAAATTAAAGTCATAATTGTTTAAAAAAAATATATTCAATTGTAAAAAAAAATGGTTATGACAGCTTGGCGACTCTGCTGGGGACTTAGAGAGTCAGGCTGTCGGTCGCTTATATATGGTCGTTATGGTGGAAATTATAAGTTCGAATCTTTAGTAAAACTATGATCTATGTATTGAATTTTTATTTATTTTTATATACTAACATTTTAATTGTTTTCATTTTTTCAGATTTTTTTAGTTCTCGTTGAGTGTTTTTTTTCCTGTTTTTTGAGTCAAAGGTTTGTTTGTTTCTCCTCACACACATCACTTTCATTAGCATAACATGAGCTCTAGACATGAGTTTCGATCCAAATTAGTTAGGGTGATTGCTTTACTCTCGTAAGAATTTATTCTTCGTATGAGTTTTGGGCAAATAACCCATGGGATACATACCTTATACCTTCGTAGGAATTTATTCCTCGTATGGGTATAAGGTAGTGAATCCCCTCGAATTGAACTCGGTCCATTTGAAACCTGTAATGGGTGAGGATTGAGGGTTTGGTAGCCCAAGGGGGCACCGACATCAAGGACAATTCGAGTCCCTTTTTCCTGTTAGAGCTGAAACCATGCATATAGTGAACCATAGAATGGTCACACTAGGTAGAGTCATACTGAACCTCTGTCCGTCAATAGGTACCCAAAATAGGCGTACACAATGGAGAAACCCTCTAACCTTTTTATTTTATTTATTTATTTTTGAGTGTGTAGAATAGATTTATTCTGTTAAAGCATGTGAAATAGAATTTAGGTGCAGTTAGAATTTAATTAATTTAGGAGGGTAGAGAGCATGTTCGGGTAGATAATACATAAATAGAATAGATTTATTTCCCGTTTTACTTATCTTTTTATGTTAAATTTATGCAATTGTTTTGACTAACTGTTTTGTTTGTTTTGTTTATTTTTTTCATAC